TTTCAAATAAATAAATTGCACTTGATATTTCTAAGCAATACTCTATTTAAACTTTTTCGGGAGGAAAATATGATGTTTAAGAGTACATCCAAGCAAGATTAAAAAATAGGAATTTTTTGATACCTATACAAAATTAGAAACTTTATTACCAAAAATTTTCATGTTTACATAATTACCTGACCTACCCATATTTAGTCTACAAAATATATACATTCCACCTTAAAAGACTCACGGTCCATTATTAATGTCTTCAATTAAGGATTTAGTTACACCATTTTCAACTTTCTTTCTTCCTTTTTCAAGCCATTTTCATCTTTTTCTTGTGTGCTTCTGCAAATTTGTTCTACTGAATGCAGAGAACTTGTGCTTTTTCTTTCTTTTGTTTCCTTTTAAGCATACAAGTTTTGCTGTTGGGGGATATGGATGTGAAGGGTCTATTGAGCCCATAAATGTGAATAACTATTGGATATGATACGGTTGTGCAAATCCAAAGATGCCCACTCTTGCTGAAAGGGAAGAGTTTGGTTGATATGGCCACTACAAGGAAAATAATAAGAGAAATTAACTTGATATAGTTGATTAAATTACACCAACAATGCAGAACATGTTTACTTCGCACGGTAAATAATTTAGCTCCGTTTTAAACTCAATATTGTTTGAGAAAATTAAGTGAAAATGCGTGAGCAAACTGGATATCATATCTCTATGCAATAAAAGTTCCGATAAGTTTGAAATTAAGATCGAGCTACCCAGTTATATACAACTAAAATATCATACCACTTAAACACAATTTTTATACAAATTTCATACAATACGTTTTCTGTATATTCTGTATCTGATTTATACGTAGTAAAAATAAATTTCATACAACTAATTATGTATAATACAACTACAACTTTCATACATAATTTCTACCCAGTTATATACAACTATAATATCATACAACTTAAATATAATTTTTATGCAATATTGTTCAACTTTCATACAATATTTAAATAAAAAATATATATATATATATAAACAACATAATATAATTTTTCTACAACTTTACTACAATTTCTGCAGTATAATGTATGTCATGTCTTCTTCTTCTTCGAGTTTCAATCTGAAGTTCACCCAAAATCAAGTCTAATCTTCACCAAAACACCCTCAAAATTGAGATATAAACTCCAAAGTATATTTCCAATTGTTTGCAACAACACCCAATCCAAACAAATAATGATTTTGGAAAACTCAAATTCGAATTCAAAGCTTCAAAGTTTTTTAATGGTGGAACTGCTGCTCTCTTTTCCTTTGTTTTATATTACTGGAATTATCGATTGAGAGATAGAGAGAGACATACAGAGAATTCTCAATTATTTGCAACAACACCCAATTCAAACAAATAATGTTTTTTGAAAATTCAAATTCGAATTCAAAGTTTTAAAGCTTTTTAATGGCTGTCAATGGTGGAATTGATGCTCTCTTTTCCTTTGCTCTACATTACTGGAATTAGGAATTGAGACGTAGAGAGAGAAAGAGCGCAGGAGAGAGAGAGAGAGAGCATGAGATAGAGAGAATAAAGATGGGAAATAATTGATTCATAATATTAAGGGATACTCATTTAATTCCTAAAATGTATATAATTGGTAAATTTGTATATATGAGGTAATTAAATTGAAACTTAAGTAGAAGGGTAATAAGGTTTCCAAAAGTGTATAGGTATGTAAAAATCCCTAAGAGCTTGTTTGGAAAGCCACTTAAGAATTGGATTTGGGTGTAATTACACAGTTTGACATGTTTGTTTGGCCAAGTAATTACTTGGTGAGTATGGAATTGGGTGTAATTACACCTCTCCAATTCTCAAGGGGGAGGTGAGAATCGGTGGTAATTATGTTGTGTAATTACAAGGTTGCTTTTTAATTTCTTTCCTTTTTGTCTTTATATTAATTTCTTTTCTTTTATAACTTTTTATTTCTATTATTTTAATTTTTTTATTTTTTTACTTTTTAATTTCTTTTGAAGTTTTAAAATATATTTTTCTTTGTACATTATTTATCTTTTATTTTTCTACATTTACTTCTTGTGATTCCATGTAATTGCTTATATTTTATTAAGTATTTATTTATTTTTTATTACTCTAGTTTTTGAATCTACACCTACTAATATTAAAAATAATGAGTCATTAACAAACTTGGCATATAATGCGTGATGCACTTAAAGTAGAATTTTATTGCTAAATATGGTTATAATTTATTATGTTTCCTAATNAAATTGGATAGGTTTTGAAATCCTTATTTCTTTAAGAGTCTGTTTGGAAAGTCACATAGGAATTGGATTTGGATGTAATTGGATGTAATTACATAGTTTGACATGTTTGTTTGGCCAAATAATTACTTGGTCAGCATGGAATTGGGTGTAATTGGAGGGGTGTAATTATACTCTCCAATTCTCAAGGGGATGTGAGAATTGGTGGTAATTACACTGTGTAATTACAAGGTTATTTTTATTTTCTTTACTTTTTATTTTAATTTTAATTTAATTTCTTTATAACTTTTTATTTCTATTATTTTTATTTTTTTAATTTTTATTTTACCTTTTAGTTTCTTTTAAAATTTAAAATATTTTTTGTGTACATTATTTATCTTTTATTTCTCTTCCTTTACTTCTTGTTATTTCATGTAATTGCTTATATTTTATTTTTTATTTATTTTATTATTCTATTTTTTGAAACTACACCTTATATTATAAATAATGAGTCATTTACAAACTTGTCATGTAATGAATGATGTAATTAAAATGAAATTGCATTGTTGAATGTGGTTATAAACTTATTATGTTTCCTAATCTAAAGTTATAGTGGAACTTACTATTATTATGTTGGAATTTGACATATGCTAAATAAATTTTGGGGATTTTGAAATTATGTTATATTCTTGGTTCCAATTTATTTGTTTTAGTAGCATTGGCTCACATTGTTTGTTGTTCATTTTTTAGTTAAAATTAAACATTAATTTTGTCAAATATTTGAACAATGTTATGACATTATATTTATAAATATTAATTTATTTTATCAAACATTCCATGATGTTCTTACAAAACGTACATTTTAGCTTTTGTAAGTAACTAAACCAAATATTATTAAATTGGAAAGTATATATAAATTATTTTCACAACATTAGTTATAAATATATAATTGCTAATTAATGTATATTCGCGAAAAAATGTATATCTTAAATACCAAATCTAATATCATTTATACTTGTAAAAAATCATTTATAGGCATATATTTATTATATTAACTTTTACGTTTTGATAATTATTTCATTTAAAATTTAATCTAACTGTGTAATTATACTTGTGCAACCAAACAATAAACTTGTAATTACACTGTAATGACACTATGACAAACAAATAAGTTATCGTAATTACAGTATTGTGTAATTATTAAGATGTGTAATTATCTCATATAGCAAAGGTTAACACCTTATTTATTTTAAATAAATACCATTTAAAAAAATTATATTCTATTGATACCTTTTAAGGTTTATAACAAAATATTTAATTTTGGTTACCTCCTAGCCCTAAGCCACTAAATACGCTAATCAGTTACACTATTTTCTTTCTCTCTCTACTTTGATACATCCCATTCTCTTCCCCCATCCCATTAAAATTTTCGATCTCCTCATCCTTCCACCAGATTTGTGCAAAGCCCACTTCAGAGCAGTCGCCGACATTAAACTGATTCTTGTGCAAAGCCCTCATCCCATTATAATAGATGCACTGATTCTTGAACAACAACCGACATTAAACTGATTTTTGTGCAAAGCCGAATCAATGCGCCTTTTATACAAAAAGAATTTGAAGATTAAAACAGAGACGAAGAACGATTTATAACTTACAAGTGAAGGAGGGAGAATTTGGCGATAAGAGCGTGGGGAGATGACGACGTAGCAGTGGGCTTGGGTTTTGACATTAAACTGATTCTTGTGCAAAGCCCCCATCCCATTATAATAGATGCACTGATTCTTGAACAGCAGCCGCCGACATATAATTCGGTTGGTTTGTTTTTGAACAAAGACGATGGAGTTTGGGGCTGAGCAACTTGATTTTCTGTTAATATATTTCAATGTATTTTCATGTATTTCATTGTCTTTTTTTTTCATTGTAATTCAATGTGTCTCGTTGTATTCCATGTATTTCATTGTATTCACTATCTTTTTTTCTCATTGTGTTTCAATGTATCCCGCTGTATTCTATGTATTTCATTATATTTACTGTCTCGCTATATGCCATGAATGTATTCATAAGTTTTTTTAATTAATATAATTTATGTATTCAGATGTATTATATAATTTCTCTGAAGATTGCCATATTTTTGGGGTATTTTTCAGTTGAGAATATTTTTTATAACTGAAAATACAAATTTTGTATGTTATAATTGAGTTTGTTGAGTTATATTAGGAGTCTATTATGTTAATTGATTCACTTTCCGTTTTAACAACAGTGTAATCCTCTATTTTACGCCGTGGATACAGTCGAATACAATAATCTGTCCAGCTGTAATCCCATGTTTCACTCCATGAATACAGTCGAATACACTCGAATACAACAACTGATTAGTTGGACTTCCCTGATTTACGCCTATTTTTGCTACTGTATTCATGAATACAATAGCTTAAATACATCAAATACATCTTATAACCACATAAAAGGTATCTATAATCCGTAATATAACAAATGATATCTATAGATGACTAATTACTACTAAAAGATAGTGCTTTATGAAAATTTTCCTTCTAATTACCTAGTGGCTTTCCAAAACATACCCTAAAAAATATGGGTCCAAATTTGTTTAAATATTGGGCTAGTTGTACTAGCTCGTAATTTTTTCTAAAAATATAGATATTAGGAGAGAAATCATAAACACTACTAAATTTTAGCAACACATTATAAAAGAAGGATATTGTACAAATGTACAATTGAAAAAAAATAATGCACATTGAAAGGGCAAAATGCAAAGAATTCTCTTATTTGGCATTTGTTGAAAGTAGTAGTAGTACAATATATTACAGCATATGGTACAAACAACATTTTCGAAAACCTCGGTAAAACCCTGTTGTTTGCGAACCCTAACATCAGATCAGTGCAAAGCTATTGTGCTTCTCATCTGCAATGGCGTCTCGCTGTCGTACACTCTCAAGACCAGCAATTAACCTTTTCAAATCCACAATGAACAAGCAATCAAGCAGTAGCATACCCACTTCCTCTTTTAACCTCCCTCGCCCATTTCCAACACTCTCAAGGCAAGTTTAAAAAAACCCCAATTCAGTTATTGAATATAAAGATTCAATTTTGACAGTTGATTTTGATGTTTCAGGCCATTACCTCAAATGGGTTGTCTTCAATCTCTGCTGCCGCTCCACAGTGCAGTCTCTTCAGCTCGACTCACATCTTGCCTTGGCATTGATTCCAAGGGCTCCAGATCGTTGTCTCAGGGTATGCTCTGCAGTGCCAACCCAGGAGTTTGATATTTTAAAATCTGTATCTGTAAGCAGAAACCACTTTTTTTTAAATCACGTTTATATATTCCTATGCTTTTACTGCTTGTTATATAGTATCAATCGTCTACCTTTGATGGCTGAATCTTTTCATAGTGGGTGGTGTTCAGTTACGGAGCCACATTGACGGAAGGGTGGTCAGTTGAATACCCTTCGTCGAGTATTGTACTGTGTATATAGAAAATTATATGCATATATAGGTCAAACATTACTTTTTTGCTCATATATATTAAATTTGAACACCCTTGGCGAAATTCTTAGCTTCGCCACTAGTGTGATTAGGTGTTTTAGATTGTCTGGTCTAGCTGTTGTTATATACTGATAGTTTAGTGTTGGTAAATTATGCTACAAGGGAAGTTTATCCTAGGTAATTTATTGTTTCTTCTTTTAGTGACTTGATGAAAAAAAATGCTATGGACATTTGCTGTGAAGCTTGTCTTCCTTTTTCTTTGTGTTTATGGTCGTCAAGTATAGAATGTATCTGTGCATTCAAGTTAAATGCATTTATTAGCATGAGTGCATTGATGCCAAAAGCCTATATGTGGAATGATTTGAGATTACGCAATTCATTGTGCATTTTTTTAGGCTAATCTATCACTTTTTAGTGTGTTGTTTAACATGTCATACTTCTTAAGTGCTAATTTTGGAAATTTGATCATGTCTCTTTTTGTTTTGCCAGTAAATTAGGACTAGGTAAAATTCTGGGCTAGGTGGGTTGCATCGAGCAGTGTGAGCTATCAATATCATTTTTTTCTTCATGTGATCTGTCTTTGACTATACAAGGCCAAATTTCTTGTAGTACGTGCTTCCTGATGTTTGGTTTTGCTTGCTCACTTAATTATAACCAGTTTATTAAAATGAAAACATAAAGCCATACATTTTTGTGGTTATGGAGACTAAGAAATTGATCTGAGCTCTTTTTGGTTTGCTATGATCAGCTAAGAACTTTCAGTTTTGCTCCAATAAACTTAGTCTTCAACCATTTTTTTTTCCTTTTTTGCAAAATGGTATGAAGAGCAGAAGAGAAACCTAGAAACAGTTAGGAGCTGGAGGGAAGCAAAGAAGGCAGCATAACAAAGAAAAAAATGAGATTGGATGAGGATTGATATAGAAGGAAAAAGTAGGGTGAGATTAAATGAATAATAAAAAGAATGAAAAATCAGGCACTATCCATCGAGTTTCAAACCTTGCCCCATTAGCCCAAGGATTTCTCAGTTATAAAAATAAAATAATAAAATGAAAATTAGATGTACAATGAAGGATCCATGATCAGCAGGAATAGTGGAATATGACATCATGAAAAAGAAATCCGGAAAATAGCAACTGAGTTTCTTTTGAAAGGAAACGGAAGAGAGAAATATGAAGAATGAGTAGGAAGAAGGATCTGAATTCTTTCAATCATTTTTGAGGTACTTAACTGTCCTTCGATTATTTACAGGAATACTGAAACTAACAACTAGAATATGTTATATATATTACTAACTGGTGAAAGTAAGTCGTGCTAAGCACTATGCTCTTTTTTAATATCAAATACTCTTATTTTTTGAAAAAATATACGGGATAACTTTACTCTTTGCGATAGCATCATTTTAAAATTATCCTTAGAAATTAAATTATCCTTGGACCTCCAGCTTCATATGATCTATTCTCTCTAGACCAAATATTATGTACCAATTAGTGTTTTAGGAATTTTAGATTGAAAATTTTGATAGTGTCATATTGATACATTTGCTAAATCATAAGCACAAAGAATGTGTTCAGAGTAGGATATTTTATCCTTTAACTTATCAATTTTTATATACGCAAGCTCAATTTTAGATTTAACATATTAATATTTAACCTAGAAATATAGTCATTTGTAAGTTCCTATTTGAGTATTTAATTAAGTCAATTCGAATTTCCTCCTCACTCATGAATTATTTATTCCTCTTACCTTGCATTTTAATGTGGAAAAAATTTGGCTACTAAAAATAGATTTTAGGTTCCTTAGATTTTGTATTATAACCATTGATTCTGCTAATAAATGCATCATTGTTATCAAAGGCTAAGCGCAAAAAAGCTCTAAGGTCTGTTGGGTTGTAAGCGCAAAGCGCAAATAAAGCATGGGCTTTAACGGAGAAAGGCATAGAGAAAAACTACAAATATGTATGTATAGTCCAAGACTAATATCTAAAAGCATGAATACCAAATATATGGACAAAGAAATTGAAGAAAACTTGCGATAAAGTAAAATATCGATTGTTTAATGTCGCCTCTTCAGAATTATGCTCATTGGCAAGGGAAAATATGCCTTAGAGCCTTGATGACAGCACTGAAGCACCCACTAAATGCCCTTGATGACAGCACTGAAGCGCCCACTAAGTACGGCGAAGCACTCAACATGTTTTGATTTTGAGCCTCGCTTCAGGGAAGCGCGCCTTTGATAACACTGAGATGTATGCAAAAGCCGCGCAAAGACATTTTTACACGCTAAGCAATACAAAGAAGTATATGCTGATGGGACAGGTGGGTCCACGTGAAATGACTTGTCTTAGAAAAGACATGGTCATGACATAAGCATAAGGGTAGAATGGTCAAAGTGGTATAAGAAAATTTCAAGTGAGCTACAGTAATTCCTTTTTTCATCTAATAAAATTGCTTTGTTTTGATGTAATTACAGGAGTACTGCTTCAAAAGTCTAAGAGTCTGTTTGGCTAAACTGAATTTAAGTAGCTCTTAAGCACCAAGTGCTGAAAAGCACTTTTAAAGTGCTGGAGTTGAATTTATGTAAGCAGTTACGTGTTTGGATAAAAACGCTAAAACTGAAAATAAGCAATTGATGTGTTTGGTAAGAGCATCATTTTCATGTTAAAATGACTAAAATATCCTGATTGCTGTTAACAATAATATGAGCTTACTACGCAATATTATTAATTCTGAATTGATTCAAATACAAAATTAATTTATGTTCAATTCATTTTTAAGTTGTAAATCGTAAATAACATTATTTTAATAGATATAAATATTTTTTTTTAAATTATCATAATAATTAAAAATTGGGTCTTGCTAACCCACTTTTTAGTTCACTTAAATATCTTTGCCAGCACATTAAATATATGGGCTTTCTTGTCTTTTACCCATATTTCCCCAAATTTTTCCCCTCTCCTTTGCATCAACCAAACTTTATCTCTCTCGACAATTTCTGTCGGCAAACAAGACCTAAACAACCATGAGGATTTTCCAAGTTCTTTTTTCTTTTTCTTTTGTAGCTTTTCCCTTCTTCCAACATTGAGTAGTGCAAAAGTAATGAAGATGAAAAGATTTAAGAAGTTATGGAGAGAAGAAATTCACTTGATGAAAATCTTGGTTTACCCGAGAAGAAAGAGAACTTTTTTTCAACATTTTTTAAGTGGTTACCTGAGCCTAGGGTTTTCTGGAAACAACCTCTTTGCCTTTTAAAGGCAGGGGTAAGGTCTACATACACTCTACCCTCCCCAGACCCCACTTGTGGGACTACACTGAGTATGTTGTTGTTTGATTTTTTAAGTGGTTACACATTGACATTGGTACAGATTCTATAGTGGAAAGCAATTATTAGGCACCTTGAACTTTCAGAAGAAGAATAAATGATCCTTCAGCCTAGTCAACAAACACCAGAGGTTACTCTTCAGCATTGCTTTTTTTGATTTCCTAAACAGAGTTTTCAGTTTGACAGGAAAAAACTTTCTTAAGTAGTTTCCACTTCCCCCATTCAGCATTGTTTAGGGCAATGGTAATACTGTTGAAAAGGGAATGAACGAGCTGCAATCTAGGTGAAAGAAAAGGAAGAATGGAGGATTAGGGAAAAGACAAGAAAGCTCATATATTTGATGAGCCGGCAGAGACATTTAAGTGAGCTAAAAAGTGGGTAGAATGTAGTAGGTTAGCAAGACCCTTAATAATTTAACAAAAGCTTAAAGCAGAAACTGCTTAAATATGAATGGTAGATGAATAATTTAACAAAAGTTCATGACTATATCATTCCCTCCGGCTGAAGTTATCTTCTTTGTCCAAGTTCACAATATAGCCAAGGATCAGTTGACAATTAGTAATGGCAATAGATCTGAAATGGTCGCTGGTAATATCTGGAACCATTTGACTACAAATATACTTAGATCTTACCGATCAAACGATATATAGATCTCATGGGTGAGGGAATTTGGCCAATGGCAACATCTCATGGTTATATCAACACCTGTCGGGGATTTAAAGCTGCAACAGGGAGCTGCTGGAGGATGTAACATTATATAGCTAGAGTAATTGAATTAAATTTGAATTGAGATAATTATGCTAGTTTCCTCAAAAGTTATCAGTTTGCTAAAAAGTTAGCATAGTGAATAATACATGCCACAGATGATAGATCACTGGCAGTGCAAAAACCAGTGGTTGAGCTTTTCAGCCTCCCTTTGGCATAGGTTACACAGAGGCATCTTTCTTCTTATACTTTGAGTCAGCACAGGTTCATATGTAACAACCCAACAAAAGCCTACCATCAGTTAAGGAGGTTTACACTTAGTGTATTTCCTTACACAGGTTCCATGAGTAGAGGAGTCTGAACAATTACTTTTTGAATGGTCTTTCTGATATTTCTTCTTGATCACCTTGTGCTACGAGCCCCTCTCTCCTTGATTATATCTCCGGAGCTATTTGGAGAAAAGGTTTTATTATGCATCCGGAGGTTCTTGTCTTCCAATGCTGGAACACCAGAGGGTGACAAAGGAACACTAGTTCTATTCGCTCTAATCCCGCATTCGTCCTCCAAGGTCGATGTAACTCGAGCGAGGGCCTTCTCTATGCATTCAAGATCCAATACCTCACCAAGATCCTTGCTTGGATTCTTCATTTTTTCAATTCAAACTCGGATGGATCGTAGATAGATTCTGTCCCTGGGTACAAACATAGAAATTAGAAACTTGGTATTGAAAGAATGAAATATATTGTTTTCGCTTTATCCATTATGGGTCTAGCCTAATTTTTGAAAAGCATCAATTTGTACATCCACTGAAACTTTACCAGAACGACTACGAAATTCTCACCCTCGAGTCAAGAGCTCACCTTCAATCTCTAAGAAGTTCGAGGACATCTTCTCTTATTATCTTTCTCTGCCATGTCGAAATAATTGGTTGAATAAGAGTGAAAGAAGACTAAAAAACAGGATTCCTCTCCTTTATATCTAGTTAACCAGATGGAAGACTGCCTTCTCCAGTTTTCTCTGTATAGGAAGTCCTATCTTATTTAACCAGTCTCTCTCCACTTTAGCAGGGATTGGAAACGAAGACATAGTTATGTAGGAAAAGCATTTGGGACTCTATTGATTAAAACTATCAGGCCACGGAGACTTGTTAAAAAAGCAGAAAGGAAAAAGAGTATGCGGTTTCCCAGAGAGAACTACTCTATCTTCTAATTAGAAAACATATTTTCTCATAGTTCCAGTATCCCTTGCCAGATCTCTGTTGCCTTGAACTTTTCTCCTGGGGGAAGCCCTAAGTAAGTATTTTAGGGCATCCAACATAGCAGCCTAGAGTCTCAGGTAGGTAATTCAGTACCTGTAACCGCATTAACAAGGAATATTTGGCTCTTAGTTAAGTTGATGTGATTAGATATGGCATCAAATGCTAGTAAGATCGTCTTTAAATACATTAACTACTGTCCATCAGCATCATGTAATATCTCTATGTCTCAGCATCATAAAGGATTTCTAGGTCATCTACATACTTGATGAGTTCAACTGCCCAGAGGCCACTCTCCCTTGCTTGGCCTAAATCCTTTTACCCATTCCATTTGAATTACATTTTGTTCAGGTCCTTCATGACCAGTATGAATAGAAAAGGTGATATTGGGTGTACGTGCCACTGACCGCTATGTGTTGGATCCTTCTAGGGAGCCATGGATAATACTTGAGATTCTGACCATAGAGATGCAGAAATGGTCCATTTGATCTATTTCTCACCAAAATCCATTTCTTGTAGTATATTAATCAAGAGTTATTGATATAAGTGACAATAACTGGCACTAGAGATCTCCAAACTATTAAGTATTGTGATGAAATGGATCCTAATTGAGCAGATGGATAGTGAGGATTCAAATGTTGATGCAGCTACTTTGAGATTCAGTCGTAATTAGTTGTAGTAGTAACATTGAATTGATATAGTAGTAACTAAAAAAATTGTTCGTGAGGGAGGGGCTAAAGTTCACACCAGAGACATTGTTTAGACTTGTAATGAAATTTTAGAAGTCTTTAGATTTGTAAAGAAAGTTCCTAGAGACACTAAGCTACAATAGCAAAAGCGATTGAAGGATAGTGGCGTATCTGCAAAGCATGCTGGGCATGAGCTCTATAGATTTAATATGTCGCTCATTTTTGTCTTGGTTGAGCTGTGCTAGACACTGCGTAGCTAAGAATTTTTCAAGTTATTCTCCATATAAAGTGCAATATTCGATTGTTAAACACACACGTTAGAGTTCACCTCACAAAAAGCCTTCTGGTTTAGTTGTTGTTTTCTTCTACTTTGTAATTATAGGCTGCTGCTACCTTAAGTGTTCTCTTTGCTTTTCAGTTTTGTTCTCAGCTAATTTTAACTTATTTAAATCATATCAGTTGGATACATTTTTAGTTAACCTACTAGCCCAAGCATTTCTTGTCTCGAGTCTTAGTTGATCTAGAATGGCTACCTATCTTGCTATGATTGAAGACTTTTGAGCACCTATATTCCTCAATGTTTCTGCTTTGGATGGCCATTGCGTTATAACTACTCAAAAAACTTTCATGTGGCTTATTGGGATACAACACTAAGGGATCGTTTGGTTCGGAGTAAAGATATCATAGGATTATAATCCTACATGGGATGATAATACCAAGAATTTAGTATAAAATCTTTTAGGTTTTAGCTATTGCCAATAATCAAACAAGGGATAAATGTAATCCCAAATTTAGCCTAATCCCAATAAGCTAACAAGTTATGCCGAGATTATAATGTGGGGATTAAATAATAACGGGTTATTTAGTGTGTACTTTTCTTTGATCGATGTTTGATTCGTTGGATTAAAAATGGGATATACAAGAAATAATACAAAACATGTGTCTGATTTTACAATAGATAAACTTGAATAAATTTTTATTTCAAACTTTAACCTTGGCTTTCTTAAAGAACTTTGGGTGAGTTCTTTAGAGAAGGGCATTTTTGTCATTTTATTGTTTTATCCCGGATTAGCTATCCTGGGATTGTTATCCCACATTGAACGTGATATAAAAATAATATCAAAATTGTGGTACAACTAATTTCGGGATTGCTTATACCAGAAACAGAAGTCCAACCAACGAGATTAAATAATCCCACATTTTATCCTGTGATTATTTTTCTTTATTCTATGAACCAAACATCTCCAACCATGGTTCATCATATTGCTATAGTGTAGTGTGTTATTTTGAATGTTTCTTGCCTACTTCATATCCTATATATTCATGGGTAAACATGAAAATGTCATTATGAATTTACGTGTATCCTTTTTTTTTGGGGGGGGGGGGGTGGTTCCACGAGGCATTTCATGTAATCTTTGACAATAGAATCCAAAAATTGTCTCATGGAATGGCATGACAACCTTATTGCCATGCTTGGTTACGGCCTCGAGTTAGATGCTTGCTAGCATCAAATTTCCTTGTAATCACATATCAGTCTTTATGACATAGTTATGGGCAATGAGTATTACTATGTTAACCATGTCCTACAACTTTAGGAAGGTGAGATAAATTTTCTCACTTGCTTCCACCTTTCATTCTCACGACGCTTCAGAAGTAATATCCTTTTTCTTCTACTTTACTTAGTTACCAAACGTGTCTAATCAGATTTTCAAGTTGATGATGTATGCTCAAATTTTTTGATTTTCAAGTGTTATAATTAATTCAGGGTAGGTACTTAGTCATGTAGTTGCTATTTATTTCTCATACGTGTCAATCTATAAGTTGTAATGAGGATAAAAAGCAAAGCAACAAAACCCATGAAATGATTACTTTGTTGGCTAATAAATATCAAGGAGTTGTCCCTAAGAAGCGTCTTCTTAATTGGGTTGTTAAAGGATTAATTTGATGTAATTTTAACCTCGCCAAGTTTATCGATATTGCTGACTCAGGATCTTCTCTTTTACCAGAGTTAGGACTCTCAGTGCCGCGATAAGAGACTATGCTCAAGGAGGAAGACGGTTGTTTAGTTACAATCATGACTTCTTATCAGCTATTGTCCTTCCATAATTTTATGCAACCTCAGTTCTTAATCATGTATGATATACACAGGATGCAACTTCTGACTTTTTGCTGCAATTACCCTAATTTTTGTTCAATTTAGTAAGATATTTTCCCTCGATTTGTTTAGAAACAATTTTTGAGTAATAATGTTTGTACTTATGTTCTGCTGAAGCTGGCATCATTATAGCAGCCTTACCATGAGCGGTTAACACTCTTCTTCTTCATTTTGTTGCTTTGTTTGCGATGGGATTGGGGGATGGCATATCGTATGGGTCTTTATCTTTTCGTTTCACCCCTGAGAGAGATACCAGGTATTCTCTACAGCACTCTACTTTTCAGCTAATTTCTTTGACCGTGAATTCTAAACCATTTACGGCTCTATATGAAGCTCAAATTGGTTTTGGGATTAGTTCTCGCATCACCTGATGCAAAGAAAAGATTATGAACTGTGAAAGTTTTTTGCCAGATGGAAAGTCTTATGCATTTTCTTGAAGAAGCTGAATTGCTAATGAGTGCATATTTGTTTAATAGTTGTGGAAATGTGAAGTGCATGTGAGGGGGTGGGATGGTTGATGATATTTGTGTTTCCATGT